AGTGAAGAGAGACAGCTGAGGTGTTACCATGTCAGAGGATCACAAGCAAACATCTGCATCTTTGCACCAAAGTCAGGCAACACTGTGCAAGGTTACTTTGCATCTTTGACACTATTATTAGGCTGTTTACAACTACCATAAAGCAACTTAGTCATGAGTGGAGTTATGAGAAGGTGTTCTCAGGTCTGTCTTAGCCCCAGAGTTTGCATGGAGGGCACAACTGGGGTGAGAAAGGGAACTTTTAGCAAGATGCTGTTCCCAACACAGGCAGTCATGGCTGCTCCTCCTCCTTCATGACTAGGCTGTGCTGGGGAAGCACTTTTATTTTGTCACAGCAGAATTTGGGGGCCTTTAGTTCTTTCACTGTATGATTCTGCGGCTTTTCCTGACCTTGCACCCCTGAGAAGAGACACAGTCAGTAATACAATCTCTTTGATGGTTTTATTTTTCTTTGACGCCCCAAAAGATGTGTTTTCACAACCTAATGTGAGCTGGTTCTCCATAGACAATCTGAAGGAGATGAAGTACAGATAATTTTTAGCATCATCAGCTGATGACAATGCTATATTCCCCTCCCCAGCTTCCACCCTTCACTGGATTCAGCTCCTAGAAAAACGACACCCAGTTATAAAAGCTAAAGCCTCTCACTATTTTCTCTTTCCATCTCAGCGAAGAAGGCCATTTAAATATTGTCAGACAAAAGCAGGTGAATCTTTTTCTTCCGTCAGCCCCAGACAACATCCACTTGCAGATCCCATTCCACAGCCCTGGACTTCACCGGCTCTACCATTCAGATGTAAAGCAGGTGCCAGCCAGGGAGCCTCTCTCTCTAACACTTGCTAATGGCTCATGAATGCATGTGAAGGAGCCAGTCTTGGAGAAAAGGAGAGGGTTTACAGGTGGGGTAAGGGCCAGGCAGTGTGGGGATCCCTCTCTCAACCCCTGGCAGATTTGAAACATTAGCATCCTTTTCCCTAATCCCATTCTTCTCTGTAATTAGACAGTTGCCTCACAGGTGATCTGCTCTTATAGGGATTTTCTGGGGCTTAAAAATCCAGATGACAAAGATCCAATACCTGTGACCGGCCTGAAAAGTATATGTTAACTTGGAAGAGCTTGGTTGGTGTGATGTGTTAGCAGCACTTGCGGACTGGCTGGCTGCCCACTTAAGACCTGCACAAGTGTAATTACAGTTATCCACTCAGCACATAATCCTCATTAGTTCTGTTCTGATATTCATTAACAATGGTGAAACACATGCGAGCAGACTCAGATGAGAGATGTGAAAGAAAGCAGGTGCCACAATACACAGTGAACTCGAGAAAGCCTTCAACACACATGAAACCTCGTTGCCACTTCAGTGCCCCACTCTAACTGAAGGCTCTGGCAGCAACAGATTTTGCAGACTTTCCCCCTGGGTGAGTTGTAGGAAACTGTCCCCATCAGAATGGGCAAGCCTCAGGAAAAAAAGAGCTTTTGTTTCATTCCAAAGTTCACAAGTGTATTTGGGGAACAAAATACAAACAGCCTGATCAGAGCATCCTTTTGGAGGAGAGCGGGGGAAGTGGCTTCTGTTTTGAGGCTACTATGACCTTTGAAACACAGGGCTTGCTATTCCCCTCTGGTGGCGGAAAGAGCAGAAAACGTTTGAACACAGCTACATCTATGTGATTTGCTTTCAGTAAGAGGACATCTAACCAAGCCTGTAAGAACAACCACACTATGACTACAGGGAAGAGAGAATTCTAGCAGAGAGGATGCTTGGAAAGTTTTTGCCTGTTACACACAATGTCTCCTTGCTCCCCAGGACTTTACACAACCCTGGCTCCAAGCTGTGCTGCTTGCAACTCTTACCCAGACTATCCCATATTCCAGCTGGTGAGCACTGGTAGCTAATGCTTCTAGAGATGAGTGCTTACAACCACAGAACTTCAGCGTCATGTGTACAGCAGGCACAGATAAAGGGTTGGGAAAGAAAGAGCAGACCCATCAAACCTGAGAAATTTGGGTTGGCTTACTAGCCAGACAAGCCTGTCAAAAAGCAGGTGAAATTTGGGTTGGCTAGTAATTTCACGTGCTTTTTGACAGGCTTTCCTGGCTTTTCAGGGAGTACCTTGGGTTTGTGCCATGTCTCCTGTTCCAGTCTGATTTTCCACCGCTAACAAAGGGCCACATCATCCAGTAATTCTCAGGTGATTGTGAGACTGGGTTGTTAATGGGAGGAAGAAACCTTGTCTCTTTCTCGACCTGCTCCCCTAAAGAGAGGAGAAAAAGGAAAACCGTATTTTAATATGAATGAGGGTCTAATTTTTGTTATTCTTTCTTGAACCCCTTCCTTCCACAAACATGGTCCAGACTGTGAGCTACGACCCCTCTACAGGGGGCAGGCTACGTGGAGCCAAGTGCTGGGCAAGTACTGAGGGCTGCAGGGCAGGGGTGTTTTCAGACACATAACATGAGGAGTGTTCAAATAAAATAGAAATAAATAAAATCAAAAGTACCTGCTTGGCAGAAAGGACCCGCAAGCTCAACAGAATATAAGAGAGGGATTTCTACCTGCCTTCCTCAACCACACACATGCCAGACAGAGGAAAACATCTGCGGGGCAGTGTGGATCAGGCCATGGTTACTGATGCATTAATACCAAGCCTGCACTCTGCCACCTTGCTAAACCCCTTGATCATGAGCAGAATGACACAGCAACACCCAGTGAAGCTTCACAGCATTCACAAAACACAGATAACCCACGCTTCAGCTAGCTACTGCAGGACAGAAAAGCACCTAATCTACATAAACCTTGAGACAGCCTCTGCTGCTACGACATTAAGTGTTCACAAACCCTGTAGGTGAGGCCCTCAGTGATATGGTTTGGTGGTGACCTTGGCAGTGCTGGGCTAACAGTTGGACTTGATGATCTTAAAGGTCTTTTCCAACGAAGTTGATTTTATGGTTCTATGGCTCTATGATTAACGCTGAGCTTAGCAATGCCTTGAGGAAACAGCACATAGCATGTCTGACCCAGTGGTATGAGCTCCAGAGCTGGATTTAAAGTGTCAGCCAGCTGCTGCTTCCCCAGCTCCAGTCTACGAAAACCAGTGTGTTTGCACCACTTCAGCATAAAGATGAGCTCCAGCCCCCCTACTGGCATTAATGAGGAATCCCTTGTAGGCGGAACTTCCTGAATCAAAACATCTTCTAGCCACAGTCCTGTATCACCTGTGCTTAGGCCAAGAGGCCAAGACTCCTTTTAGACCTGAGCTTCCAGCTTCGCTGCTGAAGGGCTATGGAAAAGGCTTGTTGCAGCATATTTCAGCCCAGTGAGTGGCTACATTCACTTCCATATACTTAATGAGCCAAATTATGCCTACTCACATGGGTAATGCTCTACAGTATTAGGCACAAAATGAACTGAGATATGCAAAACAGGGGAGTGGCTACAGCATGAAGGGAGTGGGGGACACAAACTTGTTCCAAAAAAAAAGCCCAAACTGTAGCTGCTATTTGGCCCTGTTGAGAAGAACAGGACTAGACTAGATCTGAAGTGGATGCTTACATCTTCTCTATGAGTCATCCCCAACAGGTGTTTTTCAAAAGCACATCAGTTCTAGACGCTCATGGCAGTACATCCCCTTTTCAGGACAATAGTGCCACAGAGCCGATGTCCCAGCCCTAGCATCTGGGGAATCTCTCACACTGTGCTTGCCATAGCATCCTTTCTGCCTGGATGACTTCTGAATTTACGTTCCCAAGATGTTTGGATGTGTATCACTTATTCCGGGGAAAATAACTGGGTTTCTTTTCCAAAATAAATTCTGACTTTAATGGTATGGTTTTACACACTCACAGAAGTCTTGTTTCCCCCATAAGGACACTAAAAAAAAAAAAGGTATGGCTGCAGAGAGGAAGCAAATTATCACTGATGGAAAGGGATATATGGAAAAGAAGATATTTGGTAGTTAAAGCATAAAAACAAAGTGAATGAAAGACAAGCGGGATGAGAAAATCAAAATATGAACAAAGAGGGGGAAAAAAAAACATAAAGAAAAAGGAGGGGGAAATTAAATCAGTTCCGTGCACACTACAAAGCACATCTGTCTCAGGGTGGTAATCTGCCCTGTACATGAAAACTGATCCATATATGAGAAGTGATCTACTACATATGAGAACTGATCTATTAATCTTGTAATGAAAACTACAAGCTACGAGCAGGTAGCCCTGCTGCGTTTCCAAACGCGCGCACAGCTCCCCGAGGGAGGAGGATGCGCTGGCGGAGGCGGTGCTGCTCCTGCTGTCAAAACGGAATCCCGCTGCTGCGAGCGGGTGGCGGGCCAGTGCCTGCTGGAGAGGGCAGCTACCGACGGTGCGGTATCTGTCCAGAAAATCACCCCGCCAGGTAGAGACAGGCACGGGGCGCTCCTGAGGCTGTCACTGCTCAGAGACCACCAAACAGCGAGGGCTTTGGTTTGCGGATACACTCCCCCACCCGACCCTGCAACCCTGCGTTTGTCTCCGTGTTTGCAATGGGCTGGGTTACGTGAACTCGGAGAACCCCCCGCGGGGAGCACGCGTGTCCCCACGAGGGGCAGCACCCTTGACTTCGCGTTCGAAGGGGAATCCCAGGTGCACTGCCAGAGACCCGCAGCCCCGGGTTGTGGGGGCAGCGGGGCTGCCCGCCGCAGCGGGTACCCCTTGGTTAGGGGCAAGAAGCTGGCTCTGGTTCCAAGCTCTGCGTTTCACCCCTCTCGCCCAATTATAAGCCCTTTCCCCAGGGTCCCTAATCGTCTCTGCCTCGATCCTGTACGGATCCTGATAAACGAAACGGCCGCTAATTAGGAGGTGATGAAAACTGGGCCCGGCAAGGACCCCTCCAGGCCAGCAGCGCCGCAGGGTTACCTTGCGGCGGGCTCAGGGCACCAGCTGGGGCTCGTTCCTCATCGAGACTGAGGCGATATATAGTAACCAAGGGAAGCCCCTCTCTGTCGTCGCAAGCAGCTTAGTAGCTACTTTCCTGCCTTTGTATACGGGTAGGTGGCTGTGTTCTGTTCCCTTGCACTGGGGGAGGTGGGGAATTGGCTTGATGTGTCGTGTACCCTCGTTTGTATGTCTTGCAGGTGGTTTTTCAGGTTTTGTAACTCCCGGGCTCTGAAATCCTCCCAGTAAGTTTTTCATTTCCTTAAAGGAAGTGGTAATAGCTGGGAACGGGAGAAAGTGTTTATCTTCCTGCAGCAGCCTGTAGGCCCTGGCTTCAAATGCTTACTATCTATAAGGCTCTTTTTATAGCTGCACTGCTCTTGTTTCGTTTGGAATCTGACTGGGTGATTCCCACCTCTTCCTAGTGCATAGCAAAAATGATGTATTTTTTTTAAATTACCACTCCGTTCAAAGTAAGGAAAACAAAAAAAGGAAAAAAAGGTAAATAGATGATGAAAGAAGCTTGGAAAAGGTGAAGTGCTAATTCTCTGTGCCCCTGCAAAACAGGTCTGCCTGTCTCAGCCTTGGGCTGGCCGCTGGAAAGACGCTTCATCTTCCTTTGTGCCCTCTTTCCCGCAGTACAGACATAGCTCTGTAGCAGAGGCCCCCCTGCCCCCAGTCTTGCTGGGAGGTGGAGAGTTTATCTGTTTGCAGTGGTGGTCGCGATCTGCAATGCGGACACGCAGACCCTCTGTATGCCCCGGGGCAGGCTCCGGGTTCTCCTCCATTCTTTGCCTTTGGGTGGAGATAGGTGAGGAGGCGGAGGTGGGTGAAAGAGTGTTAAATGGGGGGGTGGGGGTGTCTGCCAGGCCCTGGCTAGCTCACCTTGCTGTGCTGCTCAGGCCTTTTGGCCCCGAGGGAGAAGCAAAGCTCTTCCTCCCACCCCCCGTAGGGAGGGGTGCGCTGGCAGCTGCGGCCTGACCCCCACCGCCGAACTTAGAAGCCAAGTTGGGAAGCGGGGCCTTGGTGTCCAAGCCCTCCCCCACCCCCTGAGCACCCCCAAAGCCCCACCCCTCCAATCAACCGACTTTTAACATGACAATGGCCCTGACAATCCCAACGCCAGGATGGCGAGGACATAAAGCATCCCCCCACCCTTGCCTACCTAATGGGGTACCTTCCTGCAGGCTGCACTGCCAGCTCGCCCCCTGCTCGGGCAGGGCGTCCTGTCTCGCTCCGGTCCGGCCATGAGCGCCCACCTGGCCGTGCCGCCCTACCTGCCCTACCCGGACTCGTCCAGGTATGGGGACTGCTACTGGCTCTCCGCAGGCAGCATGGACAGCGTGCCGCCCGAGGCGGCCCCGGCGGCCGGCGCCACCGCCTTCCCCGCGGCTGAGAAGACTCCGAGCCACCCAGGTACGCGGCCCGGCTGGTCCCGGGAGACATCGGCTTCCCTCGGGTGCGGGTTGGTTGTGCCCCTTCTGCCTCGGGGGGATGGGGGGCGACGCCGGTGACCCGAGGGGGCTGCGAGGGGCTCCGATCCACTGGACGCCCCGCTGGAAGCGGCGGCGGAGGCCGGGCGCAGCTGCCAGCAGCCCCTGCGTCCAGAGGGGACCAGAGGTGCGAGCACAGCGGGGTCTCGGTGCCGCTGCTGCGCTGGTGCCAGTGCCCACCTTACCGTGCTGCTGAGTCTGTGGAGCCCCAGCAGGCCCCCAGGGCACTCTCAATCTTAAATTCACCCGAGAAGCGGGACTTCGAAGTCGTTGAGTCTTTGCCTGACCGTGCTCACTTCGGTTCTCTCTCCTCCTCAGATGTCTCTCCAGCTTCCTCCAGCTCTGGGACACTCATCCAGTACACTCCCGACTCTGCAACCAGTCCCACTACAGAGCGATCATCTCCCTATCCCTGTTCACAGAAGGTCAATGGGGAAGATGAGGGTGGGGTGAAGAAGGGCAAGAGCCGCACAGCCTTCTCCCAGGGGCAGCTGCAAATCCTGCACCAGCGGTTCCAGACCCAAATGTACCTCAGCCCCCAGCAGATCCGGGAGCTGGCTGCTGTCCTGGAGCTCACCTACAAGCAGGTGAACATCTTCCTCTGAGCTGCTGAGTCACTTCCCGAGTGTGAAGTTATCTTGCAAGCAGGGGAGTGGGGGTTGTGCCTTTTTTCCCTCCTTTCTTAGACTCCAGACATGAGTTTCTTTCATGGTCTTGTTTATACACATTGCTTATGTGGGACAGGGGAGAGTGTGAAAACTTAGGACTTAGTCATCCACTTATGCTTGGTTCTAGCACTGTCCACACACTCTGTGCAGGCATTTGAAAATGACTCTGTGTAGCCTTGCTTTGTATGTGGGTTTCTCTATGGGCATGTCTTCATAGAACAGTGAGGGGTGGAAAGGACTTTAACATTATCTCATTCCAACCCCCCTGCCATGGGCAGGGACACCTCACACCAGACTGTGTTGCCCAAGGCTCTCTTCAACCTGGCCTTGAACACTGCCAGGGATGGAGCATTTATCACTTCTTTGGGCAACCTGTGCCCAGTGCCTCACCACCCTCACAGAAAAGAATTTCTTCCTTGTATCTAACCTGAGCCCTGAACTGTTATAGTTTTAACTCATTGCCCCTTGTCCCATTGCTATTGTCCCTGATGGAGAGTCCCTCCCCAGCATCCCTATAGGCCCCTTTCAGATACTGGAAGGCTGCTATGAGGTCTCCACGCAGCCTTCTCTTCTCCAGGCTGAACAGCCCCAGCTTTTTCAGCCTATCTTCATATGGGAGGTGCTCCAGTCCCCTGATCACCTTTGTGGCCTCCTCTGGTCTTCTTTCAACAGCTGCATGTTCTTCTTATGTTGAGCACACCAGAAGTGCCCATAGTGTTCCAAGTGGGGTCTCACAAGAGTGTCTCCAATCATGAAAAGTCAGAAAGTTGTACTACTGTGCAAGTTGCCTTTCTTAGTCACAGGGGCATCTGGACCCTCCCTATATAGAGGGCCCTTGCTCTACCAGCTACTGTGTCTCACTGAAGGAATCACTTGCTCCTGAGTCGGCATAGGTCTTGGCTCAGCAGTGAGATGCTGCTGCAGTAACAAGCTGTGTTTCTGCAGGTGTCTTGACCTGTCTTTAGGTAAGGGTTTTGATGTGATGGAAGATCCCGCAGTGATCTGAGGAGTAGGAGTGTGTTTTCAAGTCCCAGCTCTGTGATTATGTGTCTACCTGCTGCATACTGTTGGCTGCTAAAATTATGTACAATATCAGAAACCAAGCAGAAACTGGATTTGGTAGAAGGTAAAACATCTTTAGCATGTGTAGTAATCCCTGAGAATGAGTTTCTAATGACCCATGTCCTTTCCCCATCACTTCCAGGTGAAAACATGGTTTCAGAATCAACGGATGAAATTTAAACGCTGCCAGAAGGAGAGCCAGTGGGTGGAAAAAGGGATGTATCCACCACAGGTAAGAGCATTCCCCCTTCACATGCTTCCCCACTCTGTGGGGAGAAGTGCTAACTTGAACAGTGCACAGGACTTGCCCAAGCCAGTCATCTTGCTTGTAAAAGGGCTTACAGTGGTATGTATTTGAACCCTGACCTGGCACTGAAAGAGCTTTGTTTCCAGTCCACCTGTCTCTCAGCTGAAATAAGATGGAAAACAAAATAGCCAAAGATGGCCAGCAAGGCCCTGCTGTTTTTCTCGCTGTCATGGTACTCCCAGACATGTTGACTTGGAGATTACTAACCTAAGGTCTTGTAATTTCTGCTATTAGTCTGTAGTGAGGACAGCGAGTATGGAAAACACACTATTGTATGGCTTGGGGGAGGGAGCCGGGGAGAAAGTTGGACCTATTGAAAAGACTGAGCACATTTGGTGTGGCGCTCTGCATTACTGACCAGCCTTCTCTGTCTCTCCTAGAATGGGTTTCATCAGGCTGCCTACCTGGATATAAGCCCCACATTTCACCAGGGCTTTCCTGTCAGTGCCAGCAGAAACATTCAGGCTGTGACCAACATGCACCAAGCCTACAGCAGTGGCCAGGTTTACAGGAATGGGCAGAGTCTGTACTCGTTCATGGCTGTGGAGGATGAGGGGTTCTTTGGAAAAGCTGGAACAAGCTGCAGTACCCAGCAAGCCATGGGTTTCTTAAGCCAGCAGATCAACTTCTATCCCAGCTATCCTGCGGATGTGGATTATGTCAGCCTGGAGCCAGAAGACACCTACAGCTTCCAGAGCACCCCTGACAATATCGCACCGTTCTTGAGCTCTCCTGCACAGCATCAGTACCAGGCCCCTTGGCATCCCCTGGGGACCCAGAGTGATTATGAATCTTAGAATTAAGTACTTTTATTAACTCTGTTTTCTGTGGGGGTTCTAGGGTCTTGACTCAGGGATCCAATTTCTATTCCTTTCTCTTGCCCCTCCTCTCCTCCTGTTTTAACCATTGATGGGACTCAGCACCCTACTGCCTTGGGTTAGCTTTCTGTTTAAAGGCTCTTGTTCATAGCCAGCCCTTGGCAAGGGTGTTTTGTATGTAGATAGATGAAACTTCCTTCATGGAGGAGAATGTGCAATACCACAGCCAGGAGCAGCAGAGATGGTAGGACTGTTTGCTGTCTGATCTCACCTTCCTCTGCTGCATCTTCATCAGGCAACCTCTGACCCTTGCCCTTAGTGTCTTTCAGCTGAGCTTTGCTAAAGAAAACCCTGTACTTAAGCATATTTTTGCTAGAAACACCCTGTTGTAGCCCACAAGCTCTGCTGTCTTGCCTGTTTCTGTTGCTACCTCAGTCAGGTAATTGCTAATAAGTTCTTTCTATGCATCCGTTCCTCCCTCATCAAAATCCTACATGAGATCATCTGATTTCAGATTATTTGATCCAGTTGCTTCCAGCAGCTCCTGTGGGGGCTGGGGTCAGCATCTGCCTGTGCCTTGCCTGCTGCCCTCCTGTGTACGTGAAGCAGTTCAGAGGAGAGGGAGGAAGTGAGGTAGAGTATTGCCCATACCTCACATCAAAACTTTTGGTTTCCAAAGCTGCTAACTCACTTGTGCCTGCCAGGACATTCAGGATGCCTGTCTCTGTGACTGTCCCCACCTAGTTTAGATATTTCCTTCCTACATGTCTCTGCCGAGACTGTTGGTTTGTCCCAGCCTGCAAATTCATGGTGAGAACAGTCTACTTACCTGTACATGATAGTCCCCGAGCACTTCATAAACAGAGCACCACTACAGTGCAGATTTCTCTGCGTGTAGAGGCAGGCAGCTAGGTAAAGGACTCTGTTGTCTTATCCCAGGTTTAAGAGTATAAGCTAGTAGGATTTTTGTCCCTTCCCCAGGACTTATTGGATCTCTTCTGTATTGTCCTGCTGAAGAGGGCACTGGCTGCCTCATCTGACACAAGGACCCAAGCTCTGGGGGAGGTGAGAAGTTTAGAGAAACTTAGTTAGACAAAATGAAGAAGATGCCAATTAAAACTTCCAGGTTTGTTGTTAAAAGTAACTGAACCATCCTTTTCAGTATGGAGAAACCATGAGGCAGCTCCATACTATGAAAAACTGCCTTTTTTTACAAGATGTAGAGTTTCGGCATCTGTTCTGTCACTGCCCAGGAACACAAAATAAATAATAGTAAACAGGATGGTTAAAGTGTAAGTATTTCCATTATAGACTTCAGGGTTTTGTGATTAGTGCACAATTATTACTGCAACCCTGGTGTCAAATGTTTGCGCACAAAGGTTGCATGTTATAGTTAAACTCTCACTGCAAAGAATAACTGTTGTTTCAGAATTGTTTTAGAGTGTATTCTGTTGCAGTGATCTCAAGCATGTTTTATGTTATGTGCATGTTGTCTTTTATTACGTTGTTTCCTGTTGATGTTTGTACAAACTTGTTTGAGTTGAAAATAAATTACTTTATTTTAATGATGGAACTGTGTGGCCAGCTTGCATTGGAACAGCCTGCTAGGAGAATGGTTGTTCTGCACAGGTTAGACCAGGAGTTCTGAGGAAAGGAATTAAAAAGCAACAGGACTGTGTTTCTCAAAGAACTACAATCAAGCAACTGTTCAGAAGGGTCAGGTCACAGAATTCCATCAGCCAACATGCAGGTGTGTTGCCTAATGGAAGGAGGTGCTCCAGCAGTAGGCTTCCAGACTGCTTTCAGTGAAAGATAACTATGGAAGTATGAGGGTAGGAGCACAAAAAAGTGCCTCTGAGTTTTGTGGCTGCCTGCTGATGCTCCAGAAGATTGCGGTCAGCAGTCTGGAATCCTGCCTCATTGAGGCTGCAGGGCTCTTGGGGTTCTTGTACTGACCTCAAGTGACAGCAGAAGTTTCTATGTAAGTTACTGAATCCTACCTCCAGCTATAGTATACCACCAAAGCTCTCTACGTGGTTGAAATTGGCAGTTCAGTAAGTACTCCTACTAAGTACAATTTAAACTGTCAGTTGACTGATAAGGCTCTAACAGCCACATGTCCTTTGCTGAAGAAAACCTGGTCCTGTGGGTGCCAAAGCCTGCTTTTCTTTTGCAATACTGTAATGCTCTGCTTCCAAATGTGAGGTGGAGTATGTGCAGGAAGTAGAGGGAGTGGAGGTTTGAGCCTGTAGTTGCAGAAGAAAGGCTGAGTTGTCCATGTGTGGGCTGCTAACCTTCAACAGCAGAAAAAGGTAAATCTGGCCTGTAACAGAGGGAGATGTCAGGTTCACAGGATTTCCTGTATTGCAGAGCAGAGATCCTTTCTCATCCTGACCTGAGATACATGTCCCAGTGTGAGTTAGGATGAATTCTGGGTAATGATCTAGTAGTAGTGTTAATTTCAACAGTTACACTGAAAAACCAAAGCTGAACCATATACCTCTAACACTCCTATAGCCCATGAGCTAGATGCCCATCTCCACCACTCTGGGCAGGTATCATTGCTAAAATAGCAACAATAGCCCTGGGGCTGTGGTTTGTGTTGCTGCATATACCATGGGAGCATCCTGCAGAAATGAAATGTTCCTTCCTGGGTGTGCTATGTTCAGCCTGGGTTGCATGCAGATTTGTCAAGCACACGTAGCTGAAGGGAACATGCAGAGTGGCTGCTGTTGGAGTTTTGGCAGGCAGGCTGAAAGGCCTGCTAATAGCTCAGCAAGAGTTCCTAGACATTGTGGAATTAAGCAGGACTCTGCCTTTCTACAGTACTGAAGGTCTGTTACCTTGACGTGTCTTGAGCCACATTACTATGTGGAACAGCTGCACAAGTAATTGCACAACTACTACCACCAAAACTGGTGGAGATGCAACTAATCCCACCAGACTCATATTTCCAAAAGGCTTTGTTTCAGTTACTCTGAGGAAGTAAGTGCATGTGAGCAAAAAGCCCTTTCTGCTGGGTTACATTACATCTCTGTGAGGACTGCTGCTTCTTGTGATTGAGCTGTGTAACAGTGATTCCTGCATGCTGCAAACACAATTTGCCTTGCCAGCAAATCTTCTTTAGGATCAAGCTGTAAGCTCATATGGAGCTCTTTATATGTATTGTAGCCTGTGGAAATACCCTGCACTTTCATGGTATCTCTGTAGTGTCGACACTCCAATTTGTCAACACTGCAGATGTAGCTCCAGTGGTGCAGAGAATCACACCCAAACAGAAGAAATAAGATCTAATATGGACTATGTAGACCAGAGTTTATTCCCTAGTTTACTGGGTTCCAGCTTTTGCTGTCCCATAGGCAAAATACCAAGCAAGTAGAGCGGTGCAAGCAACCTCATTCCTAGCTCTCATGAAGCTGCTCATGGCCTGCAGCAATGTTATATACAAGCTACAGATTTCTTCTGAGTGACCCATGAGCAAGAGCTCACAGCCCCAGCTGTCTTTCCAGTGCAGATAAGAGCCATGATGTTTGCTTTAATAGATTTTTCCCTACAGGCATGTGTAAATGTTGTATCTAGTTATCTAATTACACTGCGTGACTCAGATGCTGAACTAGCAGGGGTTTGGAAATTTTCAGTAAAGCATTGCCATGCACCTCTTGCTTGGCCCATCATCAGAGGCCAACGGCACCTTGTCTGATACTGAGAAGGCAAGAAGCATGAAGGACCCAAAACCATAGCTCTGGTCTTAGACCAAAAACAAAAAAAACCCAAGGTTTTCCTTTCCAGTGAAGACATGTTATCTTCATGGTGTCCAGAGTTTTGAAGAGCATCCTCAGGTCGTATCTGTGAATCTATTTTACAATCAGGCTAAAATTAATTTCTCATGTTTAATGGAGGTCCATCTGCTCACACACAGCGTGTGTCTCTAGCAGATGGGCAGTGTCTGAATCACTAAATCCTTTACATATTACAACACAAATTACAACAATAAATTACTTGGGTGAGCCCCAAGATCCCTCCAAGTCACTGCTTAGATACTAGGGAAAGACCAGAAGAGAAAGTAAGTCCCCACCCGGTGTTTCACGTCTGGCTGGCTGTGGCTGAAGGACTGCTGTAACAGGAACTGCATTCCTGCTCTTTTTACACAGGGCATTGGGAATGCAGCTCCTGATACAGCCGACATCAATGAACTACCTTCCTGGAAATGGCTTACTTGCCTGCTGGAATTGCTTCAGGCTTTCAGTCTCCTGATCAGCCTATGGCAGTAAGCTCTAGTTTTGAATGATGGCCTCTGAAAAATGTTAGGGGTCTCTAGAGGAAACTGCAAGACTTGGTGGTGTTTGTTGGCAATAGTAAGGTTATCACAACTGTTGCTCATAAGACAGCATCCTCCTGCAAGCCAATCACAGAGACTTCACAGCAGGATCCTGCCTGTCCTAAAGCATCCCTGAAACAACAGGGCATGGCATGGGACTCCTTTTCCAGACAATTATTAGCGAGGAGAAGTCACAAGCTCAACTTTTTTACCTACAGCAGCCTTTGATGGGGTGGCATGGAAAGGTTTCAGATGACATCCAGGTTAGTAGCAGCACTGTTGGCTCCAAAGTTGCTGAAAAAACTCCTCTCCTATTCATGTGAGAGCCCTGATGATTCCTGCTTCCACTTTCATGTGTTAACTAGCACCTTTTCAGTTAAGTTAACTTAACCGATCCCCACCTCTCTGATGATGCAGTGGTTGCAAAAAAGTGTCTTCCCCAGGCTTACACACTTTCTGGATGTAGGACAAGGTGACAGGAAGGACTGTGCTTTAAAATGGATCTCCAGAATGATATGATCTCCTTATCTTTCCCTAAATCGTGCTGACCATGCAGTTTACAGTACAGCTCTAGAAGCAGTGCAGCTGAACAGCCACAGGGTTGTGAGAGAGTGGGGCTGGGAAAAAACAGCTGTGAGGCACAGGGTCATAAACCAGCTTTGCCAATAGAAGACCATGCCTCTTAATACTCCAATCACAGACATTAATTGCTTTCATTTTATGCCCATTTTTTTAATCATGACAGCTACTTCATTGTATTAGATAAAGTTATTGCCATCATCAGAGTAATAGAAAACCTGTTACTCAGGGAACTGGGTCCCTGCTATTAAATATACCTTGATACACACATCTGTTCAGCTACTTAGACACGTACATAGTATTAAGCTGAGAAATGATGGCACCTCTATGTTTTATCCAGTCTCAGTATAAAATGTTGCTGGTTAGGGAAATTCTTAAGGCAAGTGGCAGTTACTCACCTGTTCCTTTGGCTTTAGCTATGGCATTGCCAAGTCATGAAGCTGATCCACTAATAACAGAGAAATATGTCTCTAGTTTCGGGTCAAATCAGTAATAACAATGGCATAGAGTTGCTATGGCTATTTATGCTCTACTAGGACCTCATATTGCAATGCTCTATTACAGTGGGGGGGGGGGAGAAGATACAAAAAAATATATATCAGTCTTTAAAATATTTTATTATTTGCCAAATTGAATGCACTGTTAGATTTTCTCGAGGGGAGGCACAGAAAGATATAAACTACAACAAAGGGCTTATTTATAATTTTGATGCTTATAAGACTGTCTTATCAGCCTTTGTGCAAGCTAATTTTCACATCTCCCTTCACTAGATACTTCATCAGCCCTACACCTTGTGGCTGACCACAGAACTGGTGGTCTAATCATCAGATACTTGGTGTGTGACAATAACTTCTCCAATTTCAGTGAATGTTATGTGACCAGCACTTCTCCATACACTCCATGGCTTCATGTGTTACGTATACACAACTGTATGGTGATATGTACAAAGGAGATCTCCAAAGGAATCTGTGCCTCCTTTTGAGACAAGTTACAAGATCCATAATTTAGAAGATCCAGGACACTATCTAGGTAGCCAGATCTCAAGTCTTGCTATAAGGTTGTCTCTGCCAATAAAGAAGAGCGTGTGTGTGTGCATGTATAAGAACGTATGAATGAAGAGCTGTACCTACATATATGGGCAAACAGGTATTTGCATGTCTGTGTATTTGTGCACGCTCGCAGGCACATATTTGGATGTCCAAACAGGTTCTAACTACATGATGTCTCAGAATTGAAGAGCACAGGAATAACAAAGGGAGAAATGCGAATAAGATTTGATTCACAGCTGCCCCAAGTACCCCACATCCACAGTGCTTAGGAGTGATAGAGGTGGTGGCCAGCAGTGGTTGGGAAAGGAGCCCCCATGGTGGCAGAGTGGTGAAAGTTACAGCTGTCACCCGTCTTTGTGCCTGGATATTCCACACTGCTGGGACAGCTGTGGTAAAAGTCTACTTTGTGCTGGGCAATGAAGCTGGGCAGTGTCTGCTGGACGCTGCAGGTGCTCCCACCTTTGCCAAAGACTCCTCCATCCTCACTGGTCACAATTGTGTAAGCGTTCTGCCCTGCTCCATAGTGCTGACGGGGGGGAGGCATGGTTTGCATGTTGCTGGCAGCCGTGATTGGGTAGCCCTGGTGGAATTTGGGGTGCATGTCCAGGTAAGTACTTGGCTGGAAGACACTCTGAAAGGTAAAAGCAGTGAGTCAGAATACATAGCTAGCTTCTCCACTGTGACAATAGCTTCTCTACAGAATAAATAGCCTGGCAGGTACTAGGGCTCTGTTCCTTTACGTTTCATGTCCTCTTGATAGGCAGCAATGGCATGGGAGGGCAAGAAGAACCATATCTATCCCCATGGCTCAGGAGTGGTTACACAGTTGTGTGTATATATAGACACATACACACACACATATATATGTGAGGAAAATAGCTTTTCTCTGGAAGCATTTCAGTGGCATAGTCAGCCTATTGCTAGGCTACCTACAGAACATGGAGCTGTGCCAAGCCTGTGCCTCTGCACTGAACAAATGAGAAGGCAGGGTGTGCTCACACTTTTATGCTTAAGTCACCACACTCATGGAGAAAATATATCACAGGACTTATCTGGCTAGATAGAAGGCCATGCTGAGCCATATGCTATGTTCTTACTTGCGTGAGGCACTGAGCCCGTTCAGTCCACAGGCTATGCTTCTGGCACCTTTTCAGCTTCATCCTCCGGTTCTGGAACCAAGTCTTCACCTGGGTGGGGAAGGCAGAGCAGAGAAAAGAAAACATCAGCAAAGGAGAGGGAAGAGCAAATTTTATCCCATTCACAAGCAGGAAGACCCAGGGGAAGAGTGACCAGATGGCATAGATATATAGGCAGCAGCAGATAAAGGCCTGAAGAGCTCCCTGGGGTTGCTGCCAAAGGGGATGTCTGTCTAGCAGCCTCAGCAGGTGGCTAGTGCATCTGCATAGTGGGAGGAGGGGACAGCATTCCATCCACAGAAGAGTTATAGCTGTGACAAACTGACTCATTTCAATCATGGGGATGAATGACTGGTGCAAACTAGACCCACGCGGGTCTCTACAAGCCCCCTGCACTTCAAGCAAGCTTCTAAGACACTGTTCCTGCATGCTTGTGAGCAGAGCAGGGAGGGGCTTGCTCCCTGTACCCAGCAGTTCCCAAATTCAAAGCTCCTTGCTGCGGTGAATTCCAGAGCCATTTCCCCCTAGGGCTCTGTCTGCACCGGGAAAGAAGCCTTTGTGGGGATGTGGATTGAAGGAAAGACCAGATTGTCTCACCAGTCTCAAGTTCCTGCTCAGTGTGTGCGTGTGTATGTGTGCACCTACAATGCATATATGACTTGTTCTAGTCCCAGAGCATCCAGGCTGTAGTGCCCAACTCTAACATCCAAATTCCAGGCAGACTTTTCACTTGCAACTGCAAGCATTTCTACCCCCATTGCCAGCCCCCTCTGCTTTAAGAAGGCATCATTTGAGCCAGCACCAGTTCACTACATACATACATATGTATATATTATATATACATACATACATGCACTACATACTACATACGTACAGTACATACATACTCCATTTGCCTGGAGATCAGAAAAGACCCTGACGAGTTGCACTATACAATCCTAGCAGTACCCACATGGAGAGGGGAGTGGATGCCAAGCCACCAGAAAGTGCTGAGTGTGGCACATTATTAGGTAGTGGACAAGGTCAGCCCTAGGAAACGTTACCAGTATTTTTCAGCATGTTGCAGCCCTGGGATTCACAGAACTGACGCATGCCAGGGTTTCTGTGATGTTCACCAGTGCAAGCAAAAAGCCTGTGAATTGCTGTCAAGCCCAGGGCAGAGGCTGTTTGTGGCAAACAACATATTCATCACTGTGTTTGCAATTCTATTACAAGTGTTGGCAACAGTACCCTTAACTAACCCCTCACTGGGGAGGCCCTAGTGAGGTGACACTGACTCTCCTGCCCCAAGTGCTTCTGATCTCTGGACATGAATAAGCAAGGGAGTAACGGTTAGCTGCAGCCTTTGCCTATATTCTCAGGTGGGGACTTATCTTCCCATCCTGTCACTGCCTTATGTGACCCTGCAGCTGCTCTGTGACAGATATACCATGGGTCAAAGACTCTATGTTCACCTGCTTGTAGGTGAGCCCCAGGACAGCAGCCAGCTCCCGGATCTGCTGGGGGCTGAGGTACTTCTGGCTCTGGAACCGCTGGTGCAGGGTGTGCAGCTGCTCCTTGGAGAAAGCTGTGCGTTTCTTGGCGTTCCTCATCCCGTCTTCCGTGCCATCTTCTGTGCCCTCCTGAGACCTATCTGTAGGCTGTGGGGATGAGGATGCTGAATGTGGACTGGTGGCTGAATCTGGTGTAAATTGGCTGAAATTCCCAGAACTGGATGAAGCTGGGGATACTTCTAGAAATAAAAAGACAGTGGGAAAAAGTATGCAAGACATAATGCACAGCTGTATGGGTGTGACATGCTCATTGCCTGCTGCAGAGCTCCTTGCCTACCATACAGGGGCTTTCCTGAAGCAAAGGCTTGTGTCACCCTCCTTCCTTCATGGATCTGTGAGCACAAACAAGCCTGCTGATTGTGAGCAACGTCCCAGCTCAGCCCTCCAGGATGCCTGTAGCTCCCTTTTGCCAGCTGGAAAAGTCAGGGCAGGGAGGGGAGAATGGTACACATTGACTCCCAGTGTTATTATCCTCCAAAAGGTCCCGGTAATATTTCAGTCTCATTGTGGTCTCATTGTGGTCAGAGAGGCCTGGTCACGATTGCAGGCACAGCTTTGGGTTGGTGACTGGGCTCCCTGAAACCGCCTGCCCAGCAATCTCAAGGCAGTTGATAGACAGTGGCAAGGCAACTTCCAGCCATGGTGTATGGTGAACCAGAGCAGTCATTTCTTACAGTGACTTGGTGGCAGGTGGAGAGCATCAGCCAGGCCTTCGATATTGGCTCACTCTTGTTTGCCTGTGGCACCCACCACAGACCATGCCACTGTTGGAAATGCATATATAGGTGGGGGGACCTGTTTGGCTGAGGAGGGCTTCTGGAAGACAAGAATGAAGGAGAAAATTCTGACATGGAAATGAGGAGGGATGGAAGAAAGGTGGATGTGTGGGACAAGCACAAAGAGCCAGTAATCCTGCACCAGGGACACTGGGGACAGAATTCAAGAGTGCAGAGGAACATGTCCAAGCCCTTTCTCATCTGTGCCAGTGCATGTCTTAAGGGGGTCTCTGTTGGGGACAAAGTTGAGATAAAGATCTAAAGGAAAAACTTCCTAAACAGTCTGGGCTACTAGTTCAGACAAAAGCTGCCAAGATGCAAAGGCATTCAGGGTGCCTGAATAGGAAAATGCTGACAGGAGAGATCACCTCCACATGTTTCTGTCAGGTGCCTGGCTGCTGGGGTTTGTGAGAGGCTGAGACCTTCTCAGGCTAGCCCTGACTGAAGGGATGTGATGCCAGTCTTCTCCCTTCCCCATAAGTGCAGTGGCAAATTGTCCATCCTTCCTTCCTTCCTCCAGCTACTCTTCTGCAAACCCTTCTGCATGGTCCATCCCCTCTCCTCCTACTGGCATTTCATGGGGGGGGGGGGGGGCGTGCAATGAATGGGCAGTGCCATTTTTAGTACACACCTTCTGACTACTGAGTTCAACCAATAGCTTCCAATATCCTTCCTATTCACCCTGAAACCCACACGAGCACACCCTCCCCAACTTCCCAAATGTATGTCTAATGCAAAGTACTGACGCCCTCCTGAGGAATGAGCTCCTTATCCACCATATCAAACCCTCCCTTCTGTTGAAAGCTGAGGTGCTGCTAAGCAATCACTCATAAGCCTAGAGGCCCTTTCTGGGCCTCAGAAAGGTAGCCATGTCTGCAGCATCTCTTCTGAGAGTATCACCCTCTGGAGAGAGGCACACCTCTCTTTGTGGTGCCTGCCTCCCTAGGTTTGCCTGCACTCATAGGCTTGCTCTTGGCTATTTCCTATCCCCAGGAGATGAGAACCACCCAGAGCACAGGCTGTGTGAAGAGGCAGATGTGCAGTGGGGCAGGTTCCTGGTGCTGGGGAGCAGGGCCATGAGGGTTACAAAATGAAAGGAGAAAGGGGCTGGCAGCAGAAGAGGTGCAGGGACCTGAGGTGTTATGTGCATGGGAGCAGATTGCAGAACCTGAGGGGAAGCTGAACATCTGTGTCCTCGATGCACGGAGAGCTAAAACTTCGTGTGGGACCACAAGATGGTTGGCTCCTGCAAGCTGTGCAGTAAAAACCTTATAAGCAGGAAATGGGCATGAATATGAGCTTGGAAAACAGAAAAGTCTTATGTTAGACAGGAACCACAGCAAGATACCATAGAAGCTAAAGCTCCCTCATGCTCCTGCTTGGCCTGTCCTCCCAAAACCCCACGTCATTTACAACCTGCAGTTTGAGCACAAGACTCTCCCATGAGAAGAGAGTGAAGGGAAGAGGAAACAAGAAACACAAGCAGCAGTACAACAGACATAAACATGAAAACCTAAGGCAGCCCCACAGCCACAAACCTTTGACATCAGTAGGCCTCTGCTTCCATGACTATGCTCTCTGCAGAGAGGCATCAGAGGAGAGTGTTCAAAGGTGGATTTCACGTCGTCCATAAACCAGGCCCGCTGGCGGCATGAGTCAGTCTGCCTGCAGCCTTTGCGGAGCAGGCAGCATGCAGAGAGCATAAGCCCTTCTCCGAGCTGCGTGGCAAGTAGCCATGTGCCAAGTAGACACTAGCCACTCTGCCAGAGCCCATAGCTCTACACCATCTGACAGCTTAAAACCAGCTCTCCAAAAGATTGCTCTCCTCCCACCCAGTAACCTTACACGAGCGTTACCCTGCCGAACATACAGTAGGGCCGTGCAAAAACCTGCTTTCATCAGGCATCCAGTGAGTGGCAGGGGAATGGCAGGAACAGAACACCACCGCAGCGGGGCCTGGGACATTTTTGCAGAGATGGAAAGGCAAGGCAGCAAGAGCACAGAAAGGGAAATGGAGAGGGGAAGATACCGAACTAAAAAAAGCAGAGAGTAACAATGCTGGATTTAAAGGGAGATTTCCTGGCCCAGCAATTCACTGGGCTCAAGTTTACTGAGTACATGAAAGGTGTGAGGAGTTTGTAAGGGGATAAAGGATGCCATTAGCGGAATTACCTTCAGGAGTTGTCTATCTCCATAACACACGACACCATTTCACTAAAAGGAGGCCTAGACGTTCCCACCCCGAGAACCATGAGGTTTCACGCGACCACGTTGTCACAGTGCCCTCCAGCCTGCAGCACAGACCCGCCAGTGCCTGAACAGTCCCCATGGAAAGGTGGTGCGACGTGCCCAAGGTCACCCATCCTCCTTGCCCACGACATCGCGCTCTGCCCGACTCGCACATCAGAAAACCAAGGCAGGGAGAGAAAACTTTCCTCAAGGTCGTTAAGCAAAGCGGCTGAGCTGGGACCACAGCTACCCCGGCCTCCGCTGAAATGCCTTACCTGCCGTCTGCCTCTTCCCTTCTGCCTCCGGAGACTGACCGGCGCCCACGGCTCCCCCGGGCCCGGCCGAAGTGGGGCCATGTCCTGCCTCCCCCGCCGAGTTCCAGTAGAAGTCCAGGTACCCCATGCCAGTCCCGCCGGGGTAAGCCTGGTAGGGGGGCACAGCCAGGTGTGCACACATGGGCAGCAGATGAAGGGGTGGTTCCCCCACCTTCTAATAGATGTCACCTGCACTCAGGGGGGGAGCAGGGCTCACCAGCAAGCTGAGGTAGCCCCGCAGTGTGGACAGGCAGTTACCTTTATAGCTGCCTATACCCTGCCTGGGACTGCAATATTCACCACCGTCTGCTCCTCGGGGCTCTTTGTCATGTTAAAGAGCCTGATGGCTGGGGTGGGGACAGAGCTGGGTGGAGGGGCGAGAGAAAGCCACACATGGAATCAGGGCTAAAATATGTCCCCTCTGGATTCTTCCCATTCTGCAGGTTCCTCAGTCACACCTGAGCAGGGGCCTGATCCACAGCCCCAGGGAACCTCCTCCCACTTGCTTCTTTGGGCTCAGCTGAAATTGTCCTGTCACAAAATAACCCCTTGGGTGCAGATGTCCATGTAGAAGCTGTTCACTGCATTGGGAGAACACATACGAAACAATCCCCAACACATAGGAGTGGACAGCAGGCACATGTGGTACTGAGCCACTCAGTACCATGCTGGGCTAACTCAAGGCCCAGTTCCAGGTTATGGGGAGGGTTCTGAGACTTTCCCTTTGTGGCTTGTGTCACATTGACACCTTCACAAGAGCCATGCACACACCCTCCCTGCCTGGCAGCACTTTCCACACTCTTGGTGCAAATGTCAGAGATGGAGCAAGGTGGGGAAACCAGTAGGTAAAGATCAGACCTGGGGGCTAGAAGGGTTGGGTTTCGTTTCGGGTTGGGTTTTGATTGGTTTGGGGTTTGTGGGGTTTTTTTTTTGTTGTTTTGGTTTGTTTGTTGGTTGTGGGTTTTTTTTAACTGAAATTGAATTTCCCTCACCCAGGCATTTCAGAGTGCCAGATGACAATGTGGATGGCCCATCTTCCATGTGTCTGTGCCAGAGCAAACCCAGAAACGCTGGGCAACTCACATCCAACACCACATCTCATGTGGCAGAGCAGGCTTGCAACTGTCAGCTGGCTGGTGTACAGAGGGACAATCAGCAAAGGCATTCTCATTATGGAGGTAGGAAAAGATTTAGTGCAGGTAAGGTCCGCTGCGAACAGATTTGCTCTGCCATGGCCTTTCAAAGGCACACCCTTTCATTCGTTAGTCTTGGCTGGGGCCTTTGCCAGGCTGTCGCAGGCTGGTTGAAATAAAGATGAAGAGTTTCCTTCAAGGCAGGGTTGGCTGATGTTTGCTGACATGGGCCACCACGGGGGGACAGGCACCTGCAGAGGTTCTTCATTAAAAAACTAGAGGTGAGTGAGCCACAGAATTCAGTAATGGGCCTACAGGTTGCTCAGCTCCATGGGCTTGCTCCAGTCTCTTCCCCCCAGGAGTTTTTGCTCTTTAGGAAGATTTCATTAGTTTCATGTCAAAAACCATTGCAAGTCTCTAGCTAACATCTGTAATTGTCAATGCACAGGCAGAAGTCCCAGTGTTAACCCAAATACTTCTTGTTAGAACCAGCCCTGCCTTAGCACCAGGACATGTGCATGTCTCATGTCAGAAGCTCAGAGCGGAGGGTGCAGATCCACAGAACTGTAAAATTATTTAACCTGGACCACTGCTGCACCCCTCTGTGCCTCATCGGTCCATGGCTGCTTGTTGCTGCCTTCTTCCCAAGCCTGCACTAGCACCCAGTAGCTGCTGAACAAGCCAGAGAGGGGAAACTGCTTGATGTCAGCAGGGAGAAGAAACAGACAGATGAGGTGAGCAAGACCATGTGAAATGTTTAAAGCTCTACATTTTAGTTTAAAAGGATGTAGAACACCAGTTCCCTCAGCACTTCTGATGCTGCTCTGTGTCCCATGGCAGGTTCCTAGTCCTGGCTTCCTTTTCTGTAGAGCAGGGGCAACTTCCAAGCCTTCTGAGATGGGAAACCCGAAGGAACTGCAGGCCTAGCCTGTGGGTGAACTTGAAAATCAACGCAGCTGCTCCTGAGTCAGTCATGGGCACATCATTCAACCCTCTTGTCACATCACAGCATGATTCTGCTGCCTTGGGACCATGCACTTGACCTTGAACTACAGACTTGGAGAGAACTAAAGGCCTGGCTTGGATTTCTTTAACTCAGTATTTTCTGCTTGCATCTAACTCTTCTCTATGTCTACAAACTGCAGGGACTGCCATCTCTCTGCACAAGAAATGCAGTTTTAAATATGAAATTAACCTGGAAAACTGAAGCAGAAAAGGGGTTTTGAGCACATTTACCTCAATAGAATTCTGAGAATATTGTGAATAAGACAGTTACTCTACAACAGCCTCTGCATGATGGTTTTGGCTCATGCCTCACTTCTGAATCATTCCACGTTTCAGAGCTGCAGTACCACAAGAGCTCAGGGCTCAGAGCTCTGGCACCTGTGTTGGTGTTCAAGTTGTCATGGCCTTAGGTGCTGTTAGAAAAAGAAAACAAGACAGCAGTCCTGGGGGATACCAACGTATCTTCTGTTTAATATGGAGACCTGGCAGAAAACATGTCATGGGGTGCTGCCATGGGTGGCAGTAGGTGTCTGTACTTGCTGGGAGTCCCCGTGGCTGAGCAATTCACACTTGATCTCCTTGATTTCAGCTACTTCTGAAGGTGTCAGGGGTCCTCCTTGCAAAGTGCCTAGAGGCCGTAATAAACTAGCGCAGTCACCTGCATTACAAAGTCCCGCTGGGCAGAAGCCGGGGAGAGGATGGTGCTGCCCTTGGGACCCGAACCACCCGCCCAACTGGACCAGTGAGTGGGGCAGCAATAGAGGGAGTCACCTCCCCATGGCCGGAGGGGGACCGACAGGCAAAGGAGCTGGAGGAACCCCAGGGCCTCACCCCTCCTGGGTTCAGAGCAGCACCACACCATAGGGAGCAGCTTATCTGCCCCAGGGCACATGACACAGTCTGTGGTGCAGGCAGCAGCTCCCGAAAACCAGCACTGCAGGCAGCTGCCAGATGTGGCTTGGCATCAGACTGAACCAGACTGTGGGTGGTTTGGTACTGTGTTATTCCAGGCTGGGCCCAGTACTCGTTACTGTCTCACAAAAAATACACATGAAAGCTCTTCTCAGCTTACAGGGTTTAAGTACCTTAAACAGCTTTTATCTGCTCTTCTATACCATGAAGCTGAAAGCACACTCCAATAAAAAGAGGGTAAATTCTTCACAGTCATGTTAGTAACATGATCTTTCACCAAAAGCTAAGTCCTTTGCATTCTTGGAAATAGCACTGAACTGTGCAATGGTCACAGCAATGAAACAGTAGCCTGTAAATGACCAGGTTTCCTCCATAAAGGCAGTGAGGTAGAGAGACGAGGAAGTCGTCAGAGAGACGAGGAAGAAAGTCTTCATTCTCTGTCCCAGTGCCCTCTATGATGTGGTTGTAGTTCATGTTGACCTGCCCAAAATGGCCACAAAGTAGTGAACATAGGTGCAACTGACGGGGTAAATCAAATGACGTGAAAGGCAGGAGAGGCTGAAAGAACAGCCTTGAAAACTGCTCTGGGATGGTGGACATCGTCCAGAAGACACTCAAGCAGAGCAGATGATGGAGAACATGCTCCTGGAAATGGTTTCTGTAACTATGTCCTTTCATTGGCACAGTTCATATCGTTGCAGCAACCTGATTTTCTTATAACAAGCCCTGCCTAGCCATGTTTGGTCACTGACCCAAGGTCTTCTATACCTTCCATAGGTGACCCTCAGCAAAATCATCCTTCCAGGCAACAGCTTTTGATTTGTTTTGGTTTTTGTGGGGGTTTTTGTTTTGTTCGTTTTTTTCTTCTGGATTTAGGAAATAAATTACCTTTCAGATCTCTTCATTTGTCAGTTGCTGCTCTTGTCTCCTAAAATAGCAACCAGACAGGATTAAATGGGAAAGGTCAGCTCTCAATAAAGACACTGGACAGACCTGACTTTGAGATGTCTGCATTCTGGCGAAGTGTCCCATGATAGCTAACACACTAATGAGGCTTGATGTGTACAGTGTGGATATAACAGAGCAAGAAATGGAAGTTAAAGCTGACAGCAGACTGAATAGACTTAGATGTTCAGTCACAGCTTGAGCCCTTGCGGCTCACCTCTTCTTGGTGTAGCTTTGCCCAACAGCCTCTTCTGTGAAGACAGATCTGATGCCACCAACTGAAGTATCACTACACCTGCATTTGCTTGGGAGGCAGACCTGTAGAGGTTTGGGCTGCAACAGTTTAGAAGTCCCTATTGCTAGCACTGTACCAGGAGAACACCAAGTTTCTGGAGGCTTGTCCTCAGAATACCCCTCTCAGGGGGTTGTGGGGAGTACCCCTTCTCAGAGGGACCTGCACTGCCAGCTCAGCACCCAGCACTTCTCTGGAGGCTTTCTTGGCTCTACAGGCTCTTTCTGTGACTGGTTAATACTGGTGAACAAGCATTTTTCCCCTGTCTGAGTTGTATTAAAAAGACAAAAGAATGCTTTTCAGTCCTCAAACTTTCTGAATGTGATTTTGGTTACGTATTCGAAGACAGATAATGCAGTTGTTTTTAAAAAAAGGGTTTTGACAGTATTGTTTTATAGTATTTCTCCTTTCTTAGAAGCCTTAAGGCTTCAAATGCCCTGCTTTGTTTAAACATTTTCAGGGGCGATTGTGGTTGACATTGATAGTGATTGCTTAATCTAAAGACATTTTTAAAGGCCAGAAAGTAGAAAAGTAATACAGTTTGAATGATACGAAGTAGCTAAAACGTTGCAACATTCCCACTCTGTTCCCCTTTTAATTGCTTGGTTTAGCATGTCAGTTCTTTAACTTCGGTATGAATTTACTTCCTCTTACAGCAGCATACTTTTTTTCCAAAGACTTTTCTTTTTGGGTGATTGATCATCTTTTACATTTGTGTGAAACTGTGCTGTAATCTAGTCAGATCCCTGTATTTGCCTGCTCGCACAATGGCCTTGTCCTGCTTGCAAATACTGTTAATGAATCTGTACCAGAGAAGTTTTTCCCTCCCACAACACATATGGTCTTTCTGTAGAGAGGATAGGTGGTGGAAAGGAAAATTTATGTTAAAAAATCATAAACATGCTGCTGTCTTGGGTTTCTTTTTGCTGCTGTTTGCTTGGGGTTTCTTAGCTGGGTCATGCTAGGCTGAAAAACGC